AAATGCTTATGGGAAGTGGTTAGATTCCTGATTAATTTTGAGAATAGAGCCAACTGGATTTCTTATCAGAGTGGATGTGTGTGTGAGGGAAAGAATGCAACAAAGATGATATCTAGACTTTTGGTGTGCCCCAGCAAGTGGAAGAATGAAGTTGGCATAGACCGAGATTGGGAAGGCTGTGGCCAGGAAAGGATTGGAAGGAAGCTCAGGAGAAATTTTTTTTTTTGAGGAAGATTAGCCCTGAGATAACATCTGCTGCCAATCCTCCTTTTTTTGCTGAGGAAGACTGGCCCTGAGCTAACACCCATGCCCATCTTCCTCTACTTTGTATGTGGGACGCCTACCACAGCATGGCTTGCCAAGCAGTGCCATGTCCGCACCTGAGATCTGAACCGGCGAACCCCGGGCCACCGAGAAGCGGAACAAGTGCACTTAACCACTGCGCCACCGGGCCAGGCCCAGCTGTACCATTTTGCATTGCCAACAGCAAGTATATGAGAGTTCCCATTCCTCCACATCCACTTCAAGATAACTTTAGATCACAGAAAGGTATCTCTACAAAACGTTGATGTGATTCCTGAAGAATTAAAACCTCGTGTGTGTTCACACGTGCATGAGTGCATGTGCCAAGTGTGTTAGTGCCACATTTGTATGTATTCATGTGTCATGCACGCATATTTTTGTGTCTATGCATGTGTTTGTATGTCTTTGTATGTGTTTCGTGTGGGTGGGTAGGGCAGGGAAACGGACAGACAGGAGGGGTGTTTCTGGGTACTCCTAAAGCTCATCGAATTGTGCATTATAAAAGATTTGGCTATTCCAACTCAACATAGCGCATCTGCACAACTGCATCAGGGCCCCAGAATGTCTTCCAAGGTATTCACAAGGTTCTCTTAATAGCCTGGAGCTAAGTGGACACATCTGACCACTTTTCTGTGTGCTTTCATATCTATTGTTTCATTTTATCTACCAGCAGTCAGCTGAGTGATGAATATGTTTGTTTTTACCCTTCTTTATCATAAGGAATAACCAGAGTTCTAAACCCAGCAAAACATGCTCATAATGCTAGAGTGTGGATGCCCACAAGATTTTGTGCCCAGTGTGCTTTCTAGTATACCTGGAATTGCCTGACAGAACATAGGATACCCAGTTTAATTTGAATTTCAGATGAGTAATGAATAATTTTACAAGGTACACTGCATGGGACATATTTATACTAAAAAAACAAAAATTCAGTATTTATCTAAAACTCACATTTCACTAAGTGTCCTATATTTTTATTTCCTAAATCTGGCAACCCTAAGTGTGTCAGTAAATGCACTATTTCAATTGGGTATAATTTTAATATGTGAAAATGGCTGTATTAGTTTCTTATTGCTGCTCTAATAATTACCACAAACTCAGTGGCTTAAACAACACAAATGTGTTATATTACAACTCTGGAAGTCAGAAGTCTAAAACGGATCTCACTGGTGTGAGCAGGGCCACCTTCCCTTCTGGAGGCTGTAGGAAGAATCCATTTTCTCGCCTTGTCCAGTCCTAGAGGCCACCCACACACCTAGGCTCATGGCCCCTTTCCATCTCGAAGCCAGTAATGGCTAGTTGAGTCTTTCTCACCCTGCATCACTCTGACATCTTCCCTTTTCTGCCTATCATTTCCCCATATAAGAACCCTTATGATTAGGGGCCGGCCTGGTGGCACAGCAGTTAAGTTCACACATTCCACTTCTCAGCAACCCGGGGTTCGCTGGTTCAGATCCTGGGTGCGGACATGGCACTGCCTGGCAAAAGCCATGCTGTGGCAGGCATCCCACGTATAAAGTAGAGGAAGATGGGCATGGATGTCAGCTCAGGGTCAGTCTTCCTCAGCAAAAAGAGGAGGATTGGCAGTAGTTGGCTCAGGGCTAATCTTCCTTAGGAAAAAAAAAAAAAAAGGACCCCGTTGAGGGGCCGGCCATGTGGCCTAGTGTTTCAGTTCCACGTGCTCTGCTTTGGCAGCCTGGGGTCAGTTACCAGGTGCAGACTTATACCACTCAGTGGCAGCCATGCTGTGGCAGTGACCCACAGACAAAATAGAGAAGGTTGGCAATAGATGTTAGCTCAGAATGAACCTTCCTCAGCAGGAAAAAAAATAAGAAATACCCAATTGATCCTCTGATGATCCTCACTGCCAGAGGCAGCTCCAAAGCCTGGTATGAGGCCTCCCTGCTTAACTCTGTTCCTTGCTACAACCTCCACAACCCAGAATCACCTGTGAATCTCAGACACCCACGGCCTCTTTCCATTTCTGTGCTGCATTTGCTGTGCCCTTTGCAGTCAGAACTTCCCTCTTTCAACTTACCCCTCATTCAAAGGCCAGTCTCACTGACTGCCCACCCCAGTCCTACTGGTTCTCAGAGATGACCATATATGCCCCTCAGCTTATCCTCCACATTGAATGAAATACCTCAGGCCCCACCAAAGTTGCCACAAAATCCATGTTAGTCCCTTGAAGTAGAATATGCACCAGCTTTAGCGACTGAGTTATTAATCTGCCAACTCCTATGTTTCTGCATCCATCTCATGTCCAGTCGTCTCCTGGTAACCTTCACCACCTATGAGACTACCCTCTCCTCAACACAGTCTCCTTTCATGGTCACTTACTTCCCTAACCTGAGTATGTGTAGCTCAATCCCTCTGACCAGATATGCAAGCAGGAGGGCTAGACCTCTGCCACCACTTTCCCTTTCCCAGTCTGAAAATGCCTTTACCATCACAGCCTAGAGATTGCCCCTCCTAAATTTAACTCACGGCTCCCTCACCTGGACATTGTCAGTAGCTACAATATTTTGGATGTCTCCATCCTGAACCCCTCCCCAGATTTCCAGACCTGGGTCTCCAGCTGCCCACTTGATGCCTTCACTCAGCGGTCTTGAAATATGTCAGACCTTAAAATGGCCATAACAAAGTTCCTGATATCCCCAGTGAAAACTACTCCTACTATCAACTTCTCCATCTCAGTTGACAGAACTTCCATCCCTCTAGTTGCTTACGTCAAAACCCTAGGGTCATCTCTGAATCCTCTGCTTCACTTCTTTACTGTTATAGACTGAATGTTTGTGTCCCCCCAACAAATTCATATGTTGAACTCTCTGCCCCAATCTGATGGTATTACGAGATGGGGCCTTTGGGGACAAATTAGAATTAGATGAGGTCACAAAGGTAGAGCCACCATGAATGGGATTAGTATTCTATGAAAGTCACGAGAGAGCTTGCTTCTCTCTCTTCTCCATCACGTAAGGACACAGGGAGAAGATGACTGTCTACGAACCAGCAAGCAAGCCCTCACCAGACACAGAACCTGATCATGCCAGACAGCCTGATCTTGAACTTGGAGCCTCTTGAACTGTGAGAAATAAATTTCTGCTGTTTATAAGTTACCCAGTTTATGGCATTTTGTTATAGAAACCTAAGCAAACCAAGACATTTTCCTTCCACTCCGTATTAGGAAATCTAGCTGACCCTTAATAAACGTATATCCAGAATCCAGCCACTTCTCCTAAGCCACCATTCCACTCCATGAACCCTCAATTGGACTACTGCAGTAGCCTCCACCCTGGTTTTCCTTCCTCTTCCCTCACAATCTGTTCTCCACTGCGCAGCCAGATGGAGCCTGTTAAGACCTGGGCAAGATCATTTCCCTCCTCTGATCCAAACCTACCATCACCTCCAAAATAGATACCCAACTTCTCAGGCAGACATTCCAGCCCTTAAACCTGTCCTCCTGCTCTGTGCTCCCACCTGAAGGAAAGGAGAGCTATGGTTTCCTTAACGCTTCCAGCTCAGCTTTACCTCTGAGTATTTTTACATCCTGGTACTGGGATAACCTTTCCACACCTGTTTATGTTAGGTTCTAGAAACGTAAATACTTCCATATACTTCCTGGTATGGACTCAGGACCCTACGCTTGGTGGGGTTTCTCCAGGGTCCCCAGACCCAGGGTCTGGAGTAACGGCACCTGGAGTCCAGGACACCACAATACAGAGAACATGTGGGTGGGGGAAGCAGCCAGTGAGGGAATGGGCCACCCTACACATACCTGTGTAGGTTCCATGGGCTCTTCAGCAGCCAGGCTTTAAGAGGTAGACTGTAGATGAAAACTACCATGTCAGTTCAGTGGGTTCGGGCCCCTGTGAACCCATGCCTGGCCCCTGAGGCCGGTGAGCTGGGGCTGCATGTCTAATCTCTGTCAGCCTCGGCGTCTCATCTTCCTAGCTCTGTATCCCTGAGCAATATTCAACCTCCTACGTGCCTCGACGTCTTCACCCTCCCTCAGTCTGTTCTTCCAGTGAAGAGCCTTCGGGAAACTTTTAAAACCCTAATGTAGTTTGTGTCCCTCCTCAGGTTTTTGTTTTTGTTTTCTGCATTTTGTCCCCAAATCGCCCCAGTAGATAGTTGGATGTTCTAGTTGTGGGTCCCTCTAGTTGTGGCATGTGTGACGCCGCCTCAACATGGCCTGATGAGAGGCGCCACGTCCGCGTCCAGGATCCGAACCCGCAAAATCCCAGGCCGCTGAAGCGGAGCGCGCGAACTTAGCCACGCGGCCACGGGGCCAGGCCCCCTCCTTTGTTTAAACGTCTGCAGAGCTTCTAGAATCCTAAGAATGCAGGGAGAACCCTCAGCCTGCTATCCCAAGCGTGCTCTGCCTCAAACTCTGTTCCTCGCAGGCACGACGGCGCCCAGGTTTCCCGAATACGCCGAGCTCAGCCGCCCCCGCCGCCACTGCACCTGCCGGTGACCCGCTTGTGACGCTCTCCCACCCGCCAGCCGCCACACTTCCGAGAGCGACATGAGACAGGAGAAGCTGAGGCGGAATGTTCACTCACAGCCATTGTCAGAAAAAGGCCCCCACCTACGAGCGCCTCATCGTCCTAGACCCGCAGGCCTGGGCTGTAAGGACGTGAGCAGACACCGCCCATCGGGGCTTGGGGACGGCGAGGCCCGGGAGACGCGGCACGTACCTCAGCCGGCTCCATCGGCGTGGCCGCCGCCATCCGGGCCTGCGGGCGGAGCGGGGCCGGGAGCGGGCCGGCGGTTCTCATACCGACCCTGGTACGGATCATCTCGGGCGGCACCGCGGCCGAGCCTCAGACTCGCTTTTCTACAACGGGGACAACTACTCCTCTGAGTCCTTCTCAGTCTTGTCACCCACGCCCCGACCCACCAATCACAACTTCCGTCCGGATGAACACACCCGAACAGCCAAAATGACCGCCCGGAGGAAGACGCCGGAAGTCCCGCCCCGCGCTAGTATCACGCACGGAAACGCCTCTGTCCTGAGCCTTCATTGGTTCAGCGAGGCAGCAGTTAGACGCAGAGCAGACAGGGTAATGTAGTTCCTACGGATTCAAACGCCGCGGGTAAAGCGTCACCTACCGGGCCTCCAGCAGAAAATTTTAGGTGCCTTTCCCGTGAGGGTCCCCGGGAAGCGGCATCTCGGGTCCCAGGGCTTAGAAGGGTCTTCGTCCCTTCTTACAGGGGCAGAACTCAGATTTCTGGGGAGTGTTGTGTGCTGCCTGTTTCTGTTCACCAAAGTGTTTGAGGATGTGTAATTTCAGGCCCCGTGAAGCTCAGCATGCTTCTAGAGGCTAAACAAATTATTCATATTCTCCTAGAGGCTACGGATCCAATGCACATATCATTTCATAGTCATCAGACACAAAATGTGTCCACTGGTAGCAGAAGCTAATAAACATTCCATGTTGCAATTCGAAACCATACACTATGAAGTGTTCGAGTTTTATCACCCTCTGTATGTTCGGTCAGAGACAAAAGAAAAAACACTCCAGATTGGGCCATGACAGGAAAGATAGTAGAGGGAGGTTGAGGTATCCTGAAGCAGGAACACAAAGGTGGATCTCTGTAGTTACCACAGAAAATATCTCCCCTGACTGTATAATAAATTATTGTGTCCAATTTAGTGAGCAACACATTTATCCATTTACTATCTCTTTTTGGATAGCTGACAGTCACTTCCTTCTGGGAATCTGACATCAGTCTCAAAAATAGGACAACAAAAGATACGCTATTTTGATATGGCACAGGGGCTGCAATGTTCACAGGTGGAGCCTGTCTGAAAAGGGTGCTCTGAACCCGATAATGCATGGGGTAACTTAAATCCAAGATCTCATCTCATTGCTGGAAAGTGGTTATCATTTCCCCTGTGATGACAAGGACTGCTCAGCATGAGGAATTGATATTATCTGAGAAAAACAGTTGTAAAATGCAAATTACAAAAGGTATTAATAATGACCATGTAGTGATTCAGAAGTGTCTTCAGGGACGGTAAAAATGTGAAGATTTTACAGCAGGGATGTCTGAGAAGATAGAATTAAGCTGAGCATGGGACTAGAAGCACCACTCTCAAGACTGTCTCCAAAATATGATTTTTTATTCTTAAAATCATTAAGCAATACCAGCGTTCAGGGAAAGTTAAAGGGGACATTAAGAGTGGGCAGATGGGAGGGCAAAAGGGGTGATCAGGCTCACATGTGTGGTGATGGACTCTAAGTAGTTTTTCGGTGGTGAACATGATGTAATCTACACAGAATTTGAAATATATTACGATGTACATCTGAAAGCTATATAATGTTATAATCCAATGTTACCGCAATAAAAAAAAAGAAAAGGGGGGGCCGGCCTGGTGGCGCAGCGATTAAGTTTTTACGTTCAGCTTCTCGGCGGCCTGGGGTTCGCCAGTTCGGATCCCAGGTGCAGACATGGCACCGCTTGGCAAAAGCCATGCTGTGGTAGGTGTTCCACATATAAAGTGGAGGAAGATGGGCATGGATGTTAGCTCAGGGCCAGTCTTCCTCAACAAAAAGAGGAAGATTGGCAGTGGTTGGCTCAGGGCTGATCTTCAAGGAAAAAAAAAAAATGTGGGCAGAAATGTAAAAACATACAGGGAAGCTGAGGTGTCGTCTTTATTCACTGTTCTAACAAATGATCAGTGAGTAAATATTTGGCTTCAAGACGTTATTGGAGATCCATGAGAGACACTGGGGCACAAAAGGGACCCCCGGAGGAAGACTCCTACCCTCCTGGGGTTATATTCAAGGAAAACACAGCAATCATAAAAGAAGGAATACTAAATCATATAGTAGGTTGGAATGTGGTAGGCACAATGCAAAGTACATAGGATGAATGTGCTTAGAAGCAGCATATGGTATGGATATTACATAGTGCAGTAAGGGAGGCCTCTTTGAGAGGGTCATTGACCAAAAACTTGAAGGAGATGTGGGATGACTATGTGGGTATTTCTGGCATAAGTTCTGACAGAACAAGCAGGTGGCTAGACAGTTTTGGTGGGTTGAGCCTTCACAGGGCTCCTCAGCAGTGGAAGGCCTAGGACTCCAGCTAAGTCAGCCATTAGCCTGACTTGCTCATTGCAGAGACACTCAGGGGAAGCGTGTGAAAGCTTGCCTCTGCCTCCAGGAGTCTACAAATTTCCACTTTGGTGAACTAGGGGCTGGAACCACACAGCCTCATTTTTCATAGAATCCTCATTTTCAAGTTCGATTCCTGGTCCTTTACCATCAGCGTCACCTGGGGAATGGTTAGAAATGCTTTCTCATTTCAGAATGCAACCTAGTGACATTCTGTGGATCAAGCCCTAGAATCTGTGTTTCAACAATCTTTCAGGTGATTCTGAAGCATGTTCAAAAACATTCCATCCTGTTGTGGTTTCCGTGGATCACGTCACTGTGTTTCTTGTAATAACGAGTCCCGTCTAAATCTGCAGGATTTTTGAACTGATATTAAAAAGGGAGGGGGGTCAATATAGGTTATTTTCCTAATACAAAACGCTATATACAATCATAAAGTAGAGTGTGAAAAGTCTATGATATTTCTACCTCTTGGAGAAAAATGTTTGCAGTACAACATTATCTTTTCAGAATTGTGTCTGCACATGTGTGCATCACTCAGTGTGTGTCTCTGTGTTCAAATATATTCCTTTATAAATTGTTTTTCTCAGTAAAAATAAAGTCAGACTTTGTATACCAATCTGTTTTGATTCTCTTGCTTAATATGACTTGGACAGCCTGAAGCTACTGTCTCCTTTTATACCTGATACTTCCTCATACTTCTTTCTCTTGAAACGTTATGGACCAAAAGCTGCCTCCTTTTAAAGACTGCTTTGCATTCTGTCCTCTGCAAGTACCGTGGCCAGCCAGCTGCTGAGGCTCATGGCTACTCTTTGCCTCTTGGTCCCTGCGGGGCCCCTTCTCCAAGGCCAAAGAAAACTCCTCAGAGGCAACCACAGTCCTCCAGTGCTCGTCCAGCCCTTCTGAAGCTCCCCAAGGTCAGCAAAACCAGACCAAATTGTGATGGCATGAAAGCCGAGAGGCTGGCAATCATGTCCTGGGGTCGGATTCAGGTGTGGCTCCCAATGAAGAGTACATGAGGCCACATCCTGACCCAAGGGCAGGTCCTCAAGACTTCATGGACTTGTCCACAAGAGAGGGGCCAGTACTGTTCAGGTGCCACAGGTAGAGTGTCAACTTCTGGAGTAGGAGGAAGTGGGACCTCAACTTGTGAGCCAGAGGTGAGGACATCACCTCTGGATGAGGAAGCTGGGATGCAGTGGCTGGTGGCACCTGTCTGCACCTGACCTCTGTTGCAAGAGTGAGGGTCTCCAGCTCTGGGGCTGGGGGCCCAAGGGAACTTGGCCTGAGGTTTAGCAACACCCTTGCCTGGGTAGGCCCCCCTGAGATGTAACAAGGCGCCCCTGAAAAGATGTAGCCACAGGATTTCCAGTTCTCTCTGCAGCCTGGGCTCTGATCTCTGTTGCCTCTGCTGTCCAGGTTAAGTTCAGCACGCTCCACTTCAGAAGCCTGGGTTTGGTTCCCGGGCATGGACCTACACTACTTGTCGTCAGTGGCCATGCTGTGGTGGTGACCCACATACAAAATAGAGGAAGACTGGCATAAATATTAGCTAAGGGTGAACCTTCCTCAAGCCAAAACAGGAAGTTTGGCAATGGATGTTAGCTCAAGGCGAATCTTCCTCAGCAAAAAAAGAGAAAAAAGTAAGTAAATATTTCTAAAAGCTAAATAAGCCTCTTACCAGTTTTCCAACCCAGGAATCTCCTCCAGAACCCAAGAGACAGTTCTTTGAAATGCAATCATCAAGGAAGATAGTGCCCCTATCCTCCAGTTTTGGTGGGAGTAGGAGCCTAACTTCAGCAGGAGCCTAGGTCCAAGTCATAAGACTACTTCTTATCATAAAGGTATGAGAAATTTTTCTTTAGATAAAGGCACTCAGCAAATGCCAATGGCCCCTCCAATTATGAGAATTTATGATGAACCATATGAGAAATGGTGCTGTCAAGTCCTTGTACTTGAGGACTTGTTTTCATTTATTTTAAGAACATGTATGTAATGGGTTGTATCTTCCTGGCTATATAAAAGCCTGAGAGTTCTTATCGACTTCACAATCTCTTTACTGGATTGCCTGTGACACACGTGACATTCTGGTTTAACGCTATCAAAAATAAAATAGTTTTCTTTCTCTTCTACTTGTGTGGAGAGGTTTTCTGTGTTAACAGGACATTTTGTTTATAATTATGTTTCCCCAATAGTTTCTATCTCAGAACTCCAAAACACTGAAAATCCCCTACATGGCATTATCGTGAAATCCGGAACTACATTAGTGAATAACACTAACATTTTAAAAAGTCATCTTTGAGTAATTATTATTTACATTTTTTATTACCGTAAAATATACATAATGCAAAATTACCATTTTAACCCTACAGTTCAGTGGCAGTTAAGTACATTCACACTGCTGTGCAACCATCACAACTATCCATCTCCAGAATTCTTACATCATCCCAAACTGAAACGCTGTACCCATGAAACAATAACTCCCCATGCTCCCAGAACCTGGCAAGTACCAGACTACCTTCTGACTCCCAGTACCTAATGTAAGTGAAGTCAGAAATCACACAGTATTCATCTGGTTGTATTTGGCTGGTTTCACTTAGCGTTGTCTTCAAGGTTCATCCATGTTAACGTATGTGCCAGTACTTCATTTTATAAGGCTGAATAATATTCTATTGTATATATATGCCACATTTTGTTTATCCATTCATCTCTCGATGGACATGTGTGGGTTTTCTATCTTTTGGCTACTATAAATAATGCCATGAACACTGGTGTACAAATGTGTGAGACCCTGCTTTCAATTACGTGTGTCCATATTTAGAAGTGAAATTCCTGAATCATATGGTTAACTCAGTGTTTAATTTTTTGAGGAATCATCATGCATTTGAGTAATTATTTATACCATGTTCATTTTTTTGGCAGTCCAAACACTGCTCCTATCAATTCTCTTGGCCTCAGAGACAGTTTGCTGGCTTAACAAAATAAACCTTTATTAGAATTGTTTTGATTATTCTCCCTTGAAGTTCATCCTATTTCAATTGTTAGAAAATGCACTTTTGTTCAGTTCCTGATACGCAGTTATGTAAGTCCTTGTTTCTCATTATTGAAGACTTATAATACTGTCCCATCTATGTTATTATTTATTTATTTTTAAAGATTTTATTTTTCTTTTTTCTCCCAAAGCCCCCCGGTACATAGTTGTGTATTGTTAGTTGTGGGTCCTTCTAGGTGTGGCATGTGGGATGCCACCTCAGCATGGCTTGGTGAGCGGTGCCATGTCTGCGCCCAGGATTCAAACTGGCGAAACCCTGGGCCGCCGAAGCGGAGCACGTGAACTTAACCACTCAGCCACAGGGCCGGCCCCTGTCCCATCCATCTTAGAATCTGGATTTTCATGAGTCTAGATTGTAGTTTTGCTCTTTGTAGCTTGCCCCTTATTTCTAATGAATTGCTTCTTATTCTTTATAACTTGAGAAAATAATTGAATTAAAATGATTTTTATCAGAAAATACTATGCGTTAGTGCTTTCTATATTCAAAAACTATTCATGGCAGCTGGCCCCATGGCCGAGTGGTTAAGTTCGTGCGCTCTGATGCAGCGGCCCAGGGTTTCACTGGTTCAGACCCTGGGCGTGGACATGGCACCACTCATCAGGCCATGTTGAGGCGGCATCCCACATGCCACAACTAGAAGGACCCACAACTACAATATACAACTATGTACTGGGGGGACTAGGGGAGAAAAAGCAGAAAAAAAACCCCACCATATATGTAACTCCAACACTCTTTTTCCAGAATTGTGCCACTTCCTGGTATTTTTTATCAGTGATTTCTAACATGATTCATATTCTCTCTTGTTCCCTTTCCCTCTCCTTCTATCCCTTGTCTGCTATATCATTCTCTCTTGCTTTATCCTATGTGTTTGCTCTCTCTCTGATGAAGACCACACCTGGCCACAGGTAATTCATTAAATGTGTGCAGTGACCCTATACTAACCTTCCACAAAAAGGGAAGACAGGAGAATGATGAGCCATCTGGAGTGGCTTCCAAGACTAGGAATCTTCTTCACAGAGATTTATTCCTGGCAAAATGAAGAGGAAATGTTACTGGCTGAATTCAAGACAAGAAGCTAGATGTCAGATATTTTCTCTCAGTTTTTCATATCATTTAATGATCTTCAAGGATGCAGTTGAATTTTTTTAAATTTTTTTTAAAGATTTTATTTTTTTCCTTTTTCTCCTCAAAGCTCCCCAGTACATAGCTGTATATTCTTCGTTGTGTGTCTTTCTAGTTGTGGCATGTGGGATGCTGCCTCAGCATGGTTTGATGAGCAGTGCCATGTCCGCGCCCAGGATTCGAACCAACGAAACACTGGGCCACCTGCAGCGGAGTGTGCAAACTTAACCACTTGGCCATGGGGCCAGCCCTGAATTTTGATACAGTTATGAAACATAATCTTTATAGTGCAATTACAGACTGTATTTCTGCCTTCTATCTGCTCTTCCATGTCTTCTGAAAATCTCATGTTGCCTCTTCACATTGCAGAACCAGGGGCATTTTTATCATGTAGATGATGGTAGATAACACAGTATGTAGGAAGCACCCAATTCAGGCAGAGAGATTCCAAATCTCATGACATCATCTGGAGCCTGATTAATGTAATGTGATGAGCAGAGCTCACATTAATCGGGGTGAGTAGGACATGCATAAGAAATCAGGATTGTGCCTCTACAGGAAAAAATTCTGTGACCTGCTGGAGAGGAAACATATTCCCTCCCCTCTTAAATCAAGAAAATATGAATTTAAGAAAGAGACTAAATTATTTCAGATAGGAGTATTAAGTGATTTTATAAGTTTCAAAATTCAAATGTTTTACTAAGTTTTTTTTTTTTCCCTAATTTAGGCATCTTTCTTCTAATATCATACTAAGTCTCTTGATTCACCACTGCTCCTTTCATTCTTCCTACTCACAAATTTGTGCTCTACAGAATCTTTTAAATTACATTTTTGGTATGAGTGACTGGATTCCAGGGACAAGGAGACTGATGTTTGCTATCACTTAATTTAATTGTTTTACAAATGGTAGAGGTACAAGGTGGTCATTACGTTACAAGTTAAAGATCTGGTAGGAGACTTAATGTCTAAGAGAAGAAACACCGCTTCAAAAACAAAAAAGGAACCTAACACCTGAGGGACCATGGTATTCTGTCTGAGAGTTCAGCTAGTTTGAGACAAGACAGACATTTGGCCTCATTCTATTGCTTCTTTCACTACAAATCCATAAGTTTGGCACAGACACCCCAGTTCGCATATGCAAGAACACAGATGTGTTGTAGAGAGCTGTCTCCCTACTTCTGAGAAATACACGAGCATATATTTGGCTTTCTCCATTCCCACTGCCCTTATGGTCCAGGGTTTCCATAATTCTCATCTAGAGCATAAGGACAGTCTCATATCAATCATTGCTATCATCAAATGGACCTCAACCCACCAAATCTTATTGATTTACAATCTTCTTACTCGTTGCTGTATAACTGTTCATAGTCTTATTATCCTTTGTATTTCTGTGGTATCAATTGTAAAACCTCCACTTTTATTTATAATTTTATTTATTTGGGTCCTCTCTTTTTTTTTTATTAAGTTAATGATAGGTTACAATCTTGTGAAATTTCAGTTCTACATTAATGTTTGTCATTCGTGTTGTAAGTGCACCCCTTCACCCTTTGCGCCCACCCCCCACCCCACCTTTCCCCTGGTAACCACTAATCTGTTCTCTTTGTCCACATTTTTAAAGTCCTCATATGAGTGGAGTCACACAGAGATTATCCTTCTCTAACTGGCTTATTTCACTTAACATAATTCCCTCAAGGTCTATCCATGTTATTGCAAATGGAATGATTTTGTTCTGTTTTACAGCTGAGTAGTATTCCATTGTATATATATACCACATCTTCATTATCCATTCATCTGTTGATGGGCACTTAGATTGCTTCCATGTCTTGGCTATTGTAAATAATGCTGCAATGAACATTGAGGTGCATAGAACTTTTGGAATTGCTGACTTCAAGCTCTTTGGATAGATACCCAGTAGTGGAATGGCTGGATCGTATGGAAGTTCTATTTTTAATTTTTTGAGGAATCTCCATACTGTTTTCCATAGTGGCTGCATCAGTTTGCATTCCCACCAGCAGTGTATGAGGGTTTCCTTTTCTCCCCAACCTCTCCAACATTTGTTACTATTAGTTTTAGATATTTTTGTCATTCCCATGGGTGCAAGGTGATAGTGTAGTTTTGTGTAGTTTTGACTTGCATTTCCCTGATGATCAGCGATGATGAGCATCTTTTCATGTGCCTATTGGCCATCTGTATATCTTCTTTGGAGAAATGTCTGTTCATGTCTCCAGCCCATTTTTTGATCGAGTTGTTTGATTTTTTGTTGTTGAGTTGTGTGAGTTCTTTATGTATTATGGATATTAAGCCTTTGTCAGACATATGACTTGCAAATATTTTTTCCCAGTTAGTGGGTTGTTTTTTTGTTTCAATCCTGTTTTCCCTTGCCTTGAAGAAGCTCTTTAGTCTGATGAAGTCCCATTTGTTTATTCTTTCTATTGTTTCTCTTGTCTGAGAAGACATGGTGTCCGAAAAGATCCTTTTAGTACTGATGTCAAAGAGTGTACTTCCTATATTTTCTTCTAGAAGCCTTATGGTTTCAGGTCTCACCTTTAGGTCTTTGATCCATTTTGAGTTTATTTTGGTGAATGGTGAAAAAGAATGGTCGATTTTCATTCTTTCACATGTGGCTTTCCAGTTTGCCCAGCACCATTTGTTGAAAAGACTTTCTTTTCTCCATTGTATGCCCTCAGCTCCTTTGTCAAAGATAAGTTGTCCACAGATGTGTGGTTTTAATTCCGGCCTTTCAATTCTGTTCCATTGATCTGTGCACCTACTTTTGTACCAGTACCATGCTGTTTTGATTACTGTAGCTTTGTAGTATGTTTTGAAGTCAGGGATTGTGATGCCTCCCGTTTTGTTCTTTTTTCTCAGGATTGCTTTAGAAATTCAGGGTCTTTTGTTGCCCCATATGCATTTTAGGATTCTTTGTTCTAATTCTGTAAACAATGTCATTGGGATTCTGATTGGGACAGCATTGAATCTGTAGATTGCTTTAGGTAGAACAGACATTTTAACTATGTTTATTCTTCCAATCCATGTACACGGAATGTCTTTCCATCTCCTTATGTCCTCGTCCAATTCTCTCAGAAAGGCCTTGCAATTTTCAATATATAGGTCCTTCACTTCCTTAGTTAAATTTACCCTGAGGTATTTTATTCTTTTTGTCACGATTGTGAGTGGTATTGTGTTCTTGAGTTCTTTTTCTGTTAGTACATTATTAGAATATAGAAATGCTACTGATTTATGCAAATTGATTTTATACCCTGCAACTTTGCTGTAGTTGTTGATTACCTCTAAGAGTTTTCCAATGGATTCTTTCGGTTTTTCTATATATAAGATCAAGTCATCTGCAAACAGCGACAGTTTCACTTCTTCCCTCCCTATTTGGATTCCTTTTATTCCTTTGTCTTGCCTGATTGCTCTGGCCAGGACCTCCAGTACTGTGTTAAATAAGAGTGGTGATAGAGGGCATCCTTGTCTCGTTCCTGTTTTCAGGGGGATGGCGGTCAGTTTTTGCCCATTGAGTATGATGTGGGCTGTGGGTTTGTCATATATGGCCTTTATTATGTTAAGGTAGTTCCCTTCTATGCCCATTTTGTTCAGAGTTTTTTTTATCATAAATGGCTATTGGATCTTGTCAAATGCTTTCTCTGAATCTATTGAGATGATCATGTGGTTTTTATGAGGTTTGTTGATGTGGTGTATCACACTGATTGATTTGCGGATGTTGAACCATCCCTGTGTCCCTGGTATGAATCCCACCTGATCATGATGTATGATCCTTCTGATGAATTGCTGAATTTGGCTTGCCAAAATTTTGTTGAGAATTTTTGCATCTATGTTCATCAGTGATATTGGCCTGTAGTTCTCTTTTTTCATGGTGTCCTTGTCAGGCTTTGGTATCAGCGTGATGTTGGCCTCATAGAATGTGTTAGGAAGTGTTCCATCCTCCCTAATTTTTTGGAATAGCTTGAAAAGGATAGGCATTAAATCCTCTCTGAAAGTTTGGTAGAATTCCCCAGGAAAGCCATCTGGTCCTGGGGTTTTATTCTTTGGGATGTTTTTGATGGCTGTTTCAATCTCTTTCCTTGTGATTGGTCTGTTCAAATTGTCTGCTTCTTCTTGAGTGAGCTTTGGGAGATTGTAGGAGTCCAAGAATTTATCCATTTCCTCTAGGTTATCCATTTTGTTGGCATATAGTTTTTCATAGTATTCTCTTATAATCCGTTGTATTTCTGCAGAGTCTGTTGTTATTTCTCCTCTTTCATTTCTGATTTTCTTTATTTGAGCTTTCTCCCTTTCTTTCTTTGTAAGTCTGGCTAGGGGTTTGCCAATTTTATTTATCTTCTCAAAGAACCAGCTCTTTGTTTCATTGACCCTTTCTACCGCCTTTTTCATTTCAATAGTATTTATTTCTGCTCTGATTTTTATTATTTCTCTCCTTCTGCTGACTTTGGGCTTTGTTTGTTCTTCTTTCTCTAGTTCAGTTAGGTGTAGTTTAAGATTGCTGATTTGGGATTTTTCTTGTTTGTTAAGATGTGCCTGTATTGCGATGAATTTTCTTCTTAATACAGCTTTTGCTGTATCCCATATGAGTTGGTATGGCATGTTATCATTTTCATTAGTTTCCAGATATTTTTTGATTTCTTCTTTAATTTCTTCAATGATCCATTGCTTCTTCAGTAGTGTATTGTTTAGTCTCCACATCTTTGTGCCTTTCTCAGCTTTTTTCTTGTAATTAATTCCTAGCCTTATAGCATTATGATCGGAGAAGATCCTTGTTATTATTTCAATTTTTTTAAATTTGTAGAGGCTTGCCTTGTTTCCCAACAGATGGTCTATCCTTGAGAATGTTCCATGTGCACTTGAGCAGAATGTGTATTCTGCAGTTTTAGGATGAAGTGATCT